CTCCCCCCCCCCAACCCCGCGTGAGTGGAAGGAAGGCTGATGCCTCCGCGTGGGGCTCAGAGGCCCAGGCAGCCTCTGGGAGGAGGGAGCACGCCTGAGCCTCTGGGTCTGCCCCAGTCACGAGAGGACGTGCGCTCCTCCTGCATCAGCCTGTACGGCAAGGTGGTCCAGAAGCTGCGGTCGCCTCGCACCCCAGCCATAGAGGAGCAGCTGATGGGCACCTTGGTGCCCCTGCTGCTGACCATGCAAGACGGCAATGCCAAGGTGAGCCAGGTGAGTGTGCGTAGGCCCTGGGCCCTGCGGCCAATCCTCCCGTTAGGGAAACCAGGCCAGAGTCGCTAACCATCTGTCTTGGACAAGCCTGTTTCCCAAAGGCACCGTGGTGGAAGTCCTCCTCAAAAGGAACAACTGCACTTGTGCATTTCAGAGTGTTTTTTTTTTTAATTTTTTATTGATTAAAAAAATTTTTTTTGAGTTTATTTATTTTAGAGAGAGAGAGAGAGAGAGAGAGAGAGAGAGAGAGAGAGAGCATGAGTGGGGGAGGGGCAGAGAGAGAGGAAGACACAGCATCCGAGGCACCTTTTAGGTTAGTGGGGGGCCTTGGCTGGGGAGGGCTCTGGCTGGCTCCAGGCTCTGAGCTGTCAGCACAGATGCGGGGCTTGAACCCACAAACCACGAGGTCATGACCTGAGCTGAAGTCAGCCGCTTAGCCCACTGAGCCACCCAGGCGCCTCAGGCACTTGTGCATTTCAAACAGGATTTGATTTTCCAAAAGTCAGTTTCACAAAACTGTTTTTCTGGAGTATGTTCTGGCTGTCGTGGAGTTCCCCAGCACTGGCATTGTCCTCCTCTTGGTCCCCAGAAATGTGTGAAGACCCTGTTCCGCTGTTCCTGCTTCATGGCCTGGGAACTGCCAAAAAGAGCTTATAGCCGGAAGTCCTGGGACAACCAGCAGCAGACGGTGGCCAAAATTTGCAAGTACCTTGTGAGTGCTTTCGAGACTGAGTGGTTCCTGATGAGTGTGCTGGAGGGGGCCAACTCTTCCCTTTTCTCTTCCTTCTGTTCGCCCAAGCATCCTGCCTGGCAATTCCACGACCGCCCACAAGTTGTCGGCTTCTGAACGTGCATCTGTATTTCTGGCTTCTCGCTTCTAGTGTCCCTCTCCGGTGGCTTACCGGACACCTCCCTGGTGAACCACACGCACTTCAAGCTCAGCAGGCCTCTCTGAGCTTATGGCCTCCCTTCCCATTTCAATTCTGTTCCGTCCCTCTGGATCCCCAAAGTAGACACCTAGAATTATCCTCGACTCCATATCCGTCACCTTCCACATTTGACCAGTCTTTAATATCCTAAATATCTCTGCATCTGGTTTTTCCCTCCCCATCCCCACTGTCCTTGCCCTTAGTTCAAGACACGGATGTCTCCCAGCTGGGCTCTGGATCCAGCCATCGCCTGGCTCTTTCAGCCTTGAATCTCATCTCTTCTGATCCCATCCCCACTCGGGCCACCAGAGCGGTCTGGTTCAAACACGAGTCTGTCTGTATTATACCCCTGCTTTGAGAGCTTCAGCGGCTCCCTTTTCTGCATCAGCAATTGCCAGGGTGTATTCTCTGTGACACATTCCCACGAGAAATACCCCCGAGGGGACAAAAGAGGTTCTAAGATGAGTAAGTTTGGGAAACACTACCTCGTCATCTTCCTCTTGGAGGGTTGTCGTGTCATCAGGTCATTAAAGGCTCTGAGATGTTCGGTGCTGAGATTTTTCATGGTTGTTGAATCCGTGGATTCCCCAAGTTATTTATTTATTTGTTTTATTTATTAATTTATTTGTTTAAGGTCCTCTGCCCCACATGGAGCTTGAACTCACAACTCTGAGATCAAGAGTTGGCTGCTCTACTGACTGAGCCACCCAGGCACCCCTTCCCAAACTTATTTAACCACAGAACCCCCTTTCTAGGTAACACCTGACGGCATCCTGAATTAGGAGCAGGCCACAAACACCCAGTAGAACGGTAGAACGCGTCCTGCAGGATGCAGCCCTGTCCCTCCTCATAACATTTGGGAAGCTTTGCCATCTAGTCCCATCTACCTCCCCTGTTGTCACAGGCCAGGCTCCCCAGGACGCAGACTCAGAGACAGAGATTAGCACGCAGGAGGTTTATTAGGGTGCACCCTTGGGTTCAACACCTGTGGAAGGGAGGGCAGGGGGCAGGAGGAGAAGTCAAGCTGCAGCGTAGCTTTGGGGGAGATCTCAGCCAACACTGCAGTGAGATTCCCCAAACTGGGGCCAGGGGTCAGGGCTCTACACTCCTGTGTCCGTTTGTTACTGGAAGCCAGCCACCCTGGGAAGGGACGTGACCTTGGGCCAGCAGTTCTCTTCCGCGGAGGCGTTGCTGGGGCAATAAATGCTTCACACCAATGTGGGCGGGGCAGGCCAGCACCCTCCACACCAATCTAGCGAAACGTGCAGAGTAACAGATTCCAGGATTACGAAAAGGGCTGGATACGACCCTTATCGGTAATGTTCAAAGCCTCCATGATGCAGTGCCTGATATTATTACTATCATTTCCCAGAGGGAAAAAGAGGTCTGGAGGAGGCGTTTGGCCAGGGTGCTGGTTCAGATACCTACAGCGACCAGAGAATGAGCATGCGCAGGAGTGGTGGGGGCTGGGGGCAACCCAGAGGGCCCGGGCCCTCTTGAAAGCACGAGTGGGTGCTCCGCTTCACTGTGCAGGCCGTTCTTGCCAGGTCCTCCGGCTTCACGAGAAAAGCTAGAAGCCCAGATTTTTATAAGACATTAATTAGCCATCAATTTAGCTTGTTTAAAACACTGCTGGTCACTGTTCTGCCAATGACTGTGGTTTGTGGCTTGTGACCTCTGTGTTAGACTCCTCTGGATTCTGTTTTGTTTTGTTCGTAGATTTTATTTATTTATTTATTTATTTATTTATTTATTTATTTAATGGCGGGGGGCGGAGAGAGAGGGACAGAGAGAATCTTTAGCAGGCTCTGCGCTCAGTGCGGAGCCTAAAGCAGGGCTCGATCCCACGACCCTGGGATCGTGACCTGAGCTGAAATCAAGAGTCAGACGCTCAACCAACCGAGCCACTCAGGCTCCTCTAGATTCTGTTTTTGTTCTTTCAGCATCAACAGTGTCGCTCGTGTGAAGGTCAACTTCTAGCCATAGCTTTGAGAAAGGACCAGTAACCCATTCATTCATTCATTCATCCATTCATCCAATGCTTTCTGGGATCTATGCCACACCAACCTTTGTCCAGGGTGCTGAGGACCCTGAGCTGAGTGAGCTGGCCCCTTCTCTTGAGGGAACTCTGGACCCAGTGGGGGAGACATTGATATAAATAATTACAGCACGCTGTCATAGGTTGCAGAAGCTTGAAGAGTGGCGAGAGCAGCTCTGTCTGAGGGTCGTGGAAGGCTTCAGGGAGGAGGTGGCTCCTGAGATGAGCCTCAAGGGATGAGAAAGATGCATGAGATGAAGAAGAGAGGGAAGGGCACTCCAATCAGGAGCAACTGCTAGTACCAGGCACAGATCCGGGGACAGCAGGGGCACTGAAGCAGAGTGTACATAGCCGGGGGAGGGGGCGGTGGTGGAAACTGAGGCAGAGGAGCATGATCACGAAGGCTTTGATGCCAGGCCCAGAGCAGACTGTCAACAGGAGAGTAATCATATTAGATTTTTCTTCATGTTTCTCAGCAGCCCCTTAGCAGGATGCCTGCCCCCCATGCCCCCTAGTTTCTACTTGATCGAACTCGTCCTGAACACCACTCTCAGACTATTTTGCCCAAAACATTGCTTTGTCATTGCTCTATCAAGAATAGATGTTGGCTTCCTATTTTCTAATGCATAGGTAAGTCTTATTCCTGTCCGGCTTTAAGACCTTCCTAACTCTCCAGTTTATTCTTCACTGCTCTGTAACTCGAATCCTTCATGCTGATCAGACCTGTCTTTTTATCTATCATGTCCCTTGCATGCCGTGTCCATTCTCACTAGGCTGGACTTTTATCTTTAGAACTTTCCTTTGAGCTGTAGCAGGGGGTGGACTGGAAGAGGATATACCCAAGGCAGGAAGACCATGGAAATGATCATTGCAATCTGTTAAGAACAGATGAGGCCTGGTCTCTGGGGGTCTCAGACAGAGGCCAGGATGGTGGCAGAGACATTTAGGAGGCAAGCTTCCAGGGCTTGGCTGCCTGATAGGGTCACCATCCCTAGCTTTGGGAGGACTGGATGGGTAATTAGTGCCTCTGAGGCCCCAGCACTCTTGGGCTTTCTCTTCATCCCAGGTGACTACCCACCAAGACAGCGCCTTCACATTCCTCAGCCAGAGCCTGGAGTATGCCAAGAATCCCCGGGCCTCCCTCCGGAAGTCCTCAGTCATGTTCATAGGTAACCTGGCAGGGCTAGACTTGCACCTGGGGCGCTGCCTGCCCTCTATTTTGCTTCCTCCCCTTGGAAGGAAGCCGCCAGCCCTCCTGGCACCTGGGAAATGCCTCTCCTTGTGTGCAAAACTTGGCCAGCAGATGGTCATGGTGCGAATTAGAAAGGTGTTTCTTCCTCTAGATCCCTGCTTGGGAAGTGGGCCACAGGGTGGATCCGGCCTGGAGTCCTTGTGCAGGTCACAACCTTGGCAACTGCACAGCGGAACTGCTGTTTCCCCCCTCCCTTCCCCAGTACAGCATGGGTCCGGGCCCGGCAGGAGCCTACCATTGACTGTGGCGAGAGAGGCGAAGCTGTGCGGTAGAAAGTGTGAAGTAGAATCTCAGCTCCATGATCCCCTTTCTGTGTGACCCCAACTGAGTCATCTACTCCCACGGAGCCTCAGTTTCCTCACCTGTAAAATGGGGATTAACTCCTGTTTCACAGATTAGATGAGAATATTTTTTAATAATGTGAAGACTGGCTAGTCACGGTGCTCCCTCAACATCAGCTCACTCTACACTTCCCCGAAACAACTCGATTCCCCTCATTCAGAATCCCCTTCAGACCCTTCCGATGGCAGGTGGGAATGTCTCCTCCCAGCCACGCCCCTCCCCTCCCTCAAATATCCACACACTCCTTCACCAGGACCAAGAGACCCTGGTGCATAGGAGCTTGGACAGGATGATGTTCCCAGCCCTCACTTTGCAACATTTCTTTTAGTTCTTTCCCCCAAGTCACTTGTGGTTTTCATCTGTCCAGTCGTCCACGCACCCATTCACTGGCTCACTTAGCAAACGTTGTATGGTGCTCCCCTCTGCATCAGGTACCATCCAGGCTTAGTCTAGAGAAACAGAGAACCCTTCTGGAGGCGATGTGGATGGCAGGGGTGGGGGTGTGCCTTGAACCTGCTCTGTGCAGGGACAGAGGAGCCAAGCCAAGGACTGGGGGCATCCCTCAGAACGTGGGGGCCTGCTCAGAGGCAGCTTCTCACACAGAGTGACATTATTTGCCAGATGCTGACTTCCCTAACTCTTGCTCCAAATTAACCACATCTAAAAGTGTTGGTGTTCAACAGCCTCAGGGGTGTTTTCTGTGCCAGGGCTCTGTGCTGGGGAACCAAAGCAGGGTAGAGGCTGCATCTGCCACAGATGACCTCTGGCCTGGTACAGGGGTCCCTAACTTCTTGCGGGTTTGGCAAACCCTGAAAAAAGTTATGAACACTTGCCCCTAGAAAAAATGCATTCACACGTACAATTGTGCGTGTGATTTAAGATCCTCAGAGACTGCCCTTCCCACTTCTCCACTCCGAGCGGATCTAAGCTTGAGACCCCTGGTCTGGTGGGCGATATTCATGAGTCACAAAATTCATCACAGTGTGTACAGATGAGAGAAACTCAGATACTCTGGGAGCCCAGAGAGGCACGTAACCTAGCGTGGGCGCAGGGTCAGGAAGGATTTCCTGGAGAAGTAACCATGTTAAGCTGAATATTCAGGGATAAATAGGAATGAGCCAGGCAGAGAAATGTGGGGCGGGCCCAACAAGAGGTGAGAGGTACAGCCTGACCCATTCGAGGACCTGCAGGTACTCTGGGGACCAGGCACGTAGGCTGGGAGCCGGGGAGGGCTGAACAACGTGGCTGAGGAGCGGGGTCTCATTCCCTCCAGGACCCCACACCTGCCTGAAAGGGGTGCAAGGCGCTCTGTGTCCTTTACATTATTACCACTCAAGCACCCCGGGGAAGGGGCCAGCTGAGGCAGCAACCTCCCTGAGTCTCAGGTGAGGACACTAAGGGCCAACCTGGGTAAGGGACCACCTAGGGCCACACTGTCAGCGTCAGCTCTAGCCCAGATCCTGTCCCTGTCCCGGTGCCATTCCTGCCCTCCAGACCTGCTGTCTCTCCCAGGACTCCTCTTGGGGAATCTGTTCCAGGGTCAAAATGAAGTTCTCTGTTTATGTCCTCCTTTGTGGGACTCAAGGAGGGCGGGAGAGCTTCAGGAGGTCTGGTCTGAGGGCGGGGGCCCTAGTCAGGAGTTGGATGCACTCACCTCTTGGCTTACACTCAAGGGTCCCTGGTCCCCTGCATGGAGAGCATGATGACAGAAGACCGGCTGAATGAAGTTAAAGCGGGTAAGTCCTGCCCTGCGTCTTTGAGATCTCGGGGGCCAGGGAGAGAATGAGTGGGCTCGCAGTGGGTGACAGAAAACAGAAGGACTAGGTCCCAAAGCAGGGGGCATCAGCTCAGTCCAGCTGTGCTAGTCTTCATCCCTGGCGAGCAGTGTTAAGTACCACGGGGTCACCAGGACACGGAACACACAGCCCCACCCTAGGGGAGTTTACAGTCTAGGAACCCTGGCTAGAAAACAAGCCCCAAACCATTTAGTACAGAGCAAGTGGTTCAGGCTCTTCATGGGGGCGGGTTAATTTTGTAACTGGGGAAACTGATGAGGTTGGGGCAATCCAGGAAGTCTTCCTGAAGGAGGCAGATTTTAATTCAGGCTTCAAAAGGCAGGCACAGTTTGAAGGGCTGGGAGGAAGATGAAATGAAGGGATGTTAAACAAAATCCTAAGCCGAGACACGGGGGTGAGAAGGGAGGATCCGCTGTGAGACCTTTGTGGGGGACCTGGTCTTAACAAGCGGCCTTTCTCCTCCCCCTGACCCAGCTCTGGAAAACCTGAGACACGACCCAGAAGCATCAGTGTGCATCTACGCAGCCCAGGCCCAGGACCACATCCTAGCCAGCTGCTGCTGGAACTCCTGGCCGCTGCCACACGGGGACTCGTGGGTGTGCGACCCAGCCACCACGCACCGCTGGAGCCTTAGCTGCAAGAGCCTGCCCGCTTCTCACCAGCGGTGCTCCTGGATCGTGCAGGCACTGGGCTCCTGGAAGATGGCCTTGAAGCAGTGATGTGCCTGAGCCCCCGGCCCTCCCCAGAGGCGGCCGCAGCCACAGCCATGCCCACTATAAATGCCACGTGGCTTACCTCTCCCCCTGCGTGTTTCCTCCTGGAAGACGCCCCGTGCCCTGGGGCAGCCATTGCTCCATGTGGCACATTTGTGAGATGAGCGTGGCCTTCATTGCGGACTCAAAGCCATGGAAAAAGTCCACCTTGTGCCTCGATGTCCCCTCCCCCACAGAGAGGGTGGAAGAACAACAGGAGATGATGATTGGGGTGGCTTTAGGGGAAGGAAAAGGACAGACTCCCCTGCCCCATGACGTCATGCACTTCCCGGAACTCTGACCTCTGAGTCTCACCCTCCGGTCCTTGCCCAGAGATCTGCTGGCTGTCTTTCATTTGGGTAGCATTTACTGAGCACCTAACCGGGGCCAGGCCTGCTCTGGGTGCTAGAGGAGAACAAGACCCAGTCCCTGGCCTTAGTAACGCATAGTCTGATGCAGTGGTTCTCAAAAGGGGTGATTTTGACGTGCAGGGAATATCTGACAATATCTGGAGACATTTTTGTTTGTTACAACTTGCAGAAGGGGATGCTATTGTCATCTAGCGATTAGAGCCCAGAGACGCTGCTAAACATCCTACGGTGCACAGCACGGCCCCCCACAGTGAGGAACTATCCATCCCAAATGGTTACAAGTGCTGAGGTTGAGAAACTTTGGTCTAACGGAAGTATCAGGGACATGTAAAGACATCCGTGCCCAGCAGGGTGGTGCTGTGATGAAGGGGCTCATGGGAGCTTGTGAAGTTCAGGGGACGTATGTAGGCCAGCCAGGAGTAGGGGTGTCAGGGGCAAGACCCCCCACTAGAAGGCTTGGAAATAGGACCATATGGTGGGCGTGAATGGAGGAGAGCAGGGCACACGGGACTGAGGACCAGCTGCTGATATGTAGGTTCAATGGATCCTAGAGAGAGAGAGAGAGA